TTTTTTAAATATGAAAGCGAAATCAACTAATATTAATTAAAAATTATGTTTTATGTCGCTAATAAATATTACACTCGCGAACATTTTATAGAAACTGCAATAGCGTTTTATGTWCCACGCACCTCGAACAAAAGTCAGTGAAATCATGGCACTTAATCTGAATTAATAATTATTTGCGTTTTACTCGTAATAATAGATACGATAAGAACAAACGATATTTATTTATTTTTTTAATTATTACAACAATAGTTGGTTAATTACATTCGTCAGCTATGTATATACATATATTTCCGTCATACCCTGAGTATGGTATAATATAAAAATGTTATCGGAAAACACTTCATCAACTGCTTTATGGTTACTCGCGTAATGTCACAGCTGAAAAAATCATATACAGAGTGATTCACCCAGCGTGCTCATCGCCATTTTAGATTCTGAGTGGAGCGATAATGTATTTATTTTACAATGATGTGTTTTTTTTTTAAATTATTATTTGTGTCTGTGTGCCTACTRGCCTACTACGTGATAAAAAATAGTCGAAATAATGCTTCGATTTTTAATTTCAGTATCTTTTTCGGTGAGAAAGTGAATCTAGTTTTACCTAGTTGGAGGCCAAAGTTTTAAATTCACAGTAGTTTTTAAAATCGCTGGGAAATAAAAATTAAGGAAAAACGGTGATTTTCGATATGGTCGACTTTGGTTTTAGGTATAACTATAAAACAAATCACCTTTACGAAAAATGTTATAGCTTAAAATGTATWAAACGTTTAACTTTTATAGCTAAATATCGAAAGTTCAAGACAAGGTTAAKTAGTTCATTCTATAACCAACAATTCTGAAAAAACATATAAAAACACATTTTTTTTTATTCTAGTTGTTTAGTTAAAATTAAGACAAAATTACATACTAAATGACCAAGAATGACGATTTTGGTTATATTGTTATAGGTAATTAAAAAAATATTATTCGTGGGCAGGTATACTTATAAAGTWTATTATTACATACAAATATGATAATATTTCAAACATATAATAAMCTACCAGATTTTTTTTATTCAGTTAATTATGAATCTATTCAAATGCTGATTTATATTCATGGATTTGTRACCCCTGTATTCTGTTCAAAGTTTTTGTCATAGGCGCAGAAATATATAGCGAATCGCACTCGAGATAAAACTGTCGACAGTTTCTCGACATCACCGCACTGCAGAACGCCCTAAATTAACACATTTAGGTATGCGTAAATCATCAAAAAATGCAATCCATTAAAAGTCAGTTCCTACAAACAATTATTATTTTGAATACGAGCGTCTAAGTTTATACAAACTACAAGTGAGAAGTGTACGAAAAGTTTTGATAGGTATTTTATTCAGTTAATATTTTAGAACGAGCTGCGTTGTTCAAATATTATATATAGACTTCGTATTATTATAATTTCAAGACTGAGGAGAAAAACAAAAGTAGTTTTATTTAAAAAAAAAAAAAAAAAAATGTTTGTTTTTTAGTAGGTACTTACATAATACCAGTTTCCTTAATTTAATTTTTCGTGTCCTCTGCGCCCATAATTATATAGTCCGTAGAACCTGTATATATACGTCTACGTTGCTTCAAACAAAGTATATGTTAATATGAGTTCACAAGAAGAACAAATTATTAAATTCGTTTTGTTTTTTCTTCAAGTTGCGTTAAGTTTTGTCGTGATAATGTTTTTTTGCTCATAACGACGCGTACYAGCTGCAGGTTGTTGCGGTCGAAAATGATGATATCGGTCTAAAGGTAGCTCATCGTACTGCGCGAAAAAATCGCTTTTTCCGGTGAAGGATTGCAAAATATATTCATCTGWGGACTCACTGCAAGTCTGTGTCATATTTAACTTCACCTACTTAAGCTAATTTTAACGTTTTTTCGAACTCAATGCTAGCCATACTTTTCTTCGGAATTGCGAAATCAGAACTATATTGTGAGTTAAAACAATATACACCATCACTCATATACCTACCCACCGCGTGGAACAATTATTGCTAAACAATTCCTATTGCCGTGTACGTATCAAGAGTGTACGCACGWCGTGTAGAGTAATATTTTCTATTATACTTAAGCTAGTCATAATACGACGAACAATATTTTAAACAAACACGCGCGACCTATACAACGGCCGGGAACTTGATAAAATGTTTGCGCGATATTTATTACACTAATTATCGGCTCGGTAGTTATAACTCTTCGTACAATAATCAACCCACAGACCGGAAGTTAATTAAAAAAGTAAAAACCATTATATTGTTTCTATATATAATATATATATATATATACCGCCCCGCATTTGCATGAATTCGTTTCGCATTTTTACTATCGTCGTAAGCACGCACGCACGCGCGAATATATGTATATTATATACATAGCATGAATACCGTTGGAAGTATATTATCTATACATTCACACGTATAGGCACAGCCTAAGGTATAGCATAATATGGTGGACGGTGGTACCTATAAACACCAAGGACCCAATCGAAATGTAATCAAGTCTTAGAAACACTATTTCGAACGAGGACTTTAAAGGAATCGTTAAATTAGTAGGTATATATGGGTAGGACGTACACACGGGTCACTCGATAAAATTCTTACAATACGCACGTTTAGGTAAGTATGATATAATCCATTTAATGGTCATACAAAATACTTAGATGGTTGGACTTGGACATACATTTAAGTAGGGTATCACATTTTGTTTAGTATGAAATCTTAAAATAGTATTAGATGAAAAAAAAAATAATAATAATAAACAACTTAACAAATCACAATACTGCATAATCGGTACGTTGTTAAAATATATAATACAATCGGTTGCGTAAATGTAAAAAATAATCTAAAAACTCACATGKTTACACGTAATATATCACTATTAAGCATAATCAGCAGTTTACGTAAAATTAAAAAAAAACTAAAATTATAAATCAATGCAATATTACACATTTCGAAGCTTATACGCAAACAATACAAATATACGTAGGTATTACACATATCTTGAAGATTACATACAACTTCTTATACAATAATTATAAGTTATAAGACGACACATGTTAAATATTGTAGTTTTTGCCGTCCAAATAATTCTATATCTTATCAACACGCCAGTTTTTAATAATAATACAAAAAAAATTAACACATAAATAACTCTCACACGCACATAAAAATGTTAMCAAGTGTAAATTTTGGCACTGAAGAATGTATTTAGCAAAGTTAAAAAAAAATRTAATAGCGTGATCATTATAGGAATAATAAAATCTAAAGTATAACAATGTTAGGTAAGTTTTATTTTAAAATTATTACTAATAAAAAAATGTGTTAGCTTATATGTTTGTTTGTTTTTGTTTTAATGTAGTAAATAAAAAAATAATAAACAGTGAAATGATTTTCAACACGTGTTAATTTAACTATTAAAAAATGTATACTACACTAAAAAAATTCTTTAAAAATCCAAGAATTATAATATATTTTATTATATACAGATTTACATAATACAATATATAAGTCACCAATTCTATACGAGTGACTGACATTTATATATAATATATATCATTTTTTTTTCGTATGCACATTTATTATTTTGAATTAAAACAAAATTGATGGTAATTTATAAACGAACATATATAGCAGTAGGAATAAGTAACGTTGAGCTATTTATTGAAATGCAAGAAACTAATACATGATTATCATTCTGATTGATATATACACTCATTATTTTCTATAATATTACAGTAAAAATATTAGTACAACACAGCCATTGTTTTGTAAATTAAACGTTTTGTTAAACAAATTAAATAAAAAATACTTTTAGGTGTTGGTTTGTCGAAAAATATAAACTAAACATAATGTAAAAAATATTTGAGGAAAGTTCGAAACCTTATCGATGAAATTAAAATTTGTTCATCTACAATATTCATTAAAATGTAATATTATTCTTCAATTATTACAAATATCGTTATGGAATTTACATTAATTTATTTGTCTTATATTTAAAAAATATTAAACAGTTAATTTGGAAAATATTTTTCTTGATTAAAATAACATAAATGTTGTAATGAATAATGGACACTCGGCACGAGCATTTTTATTTTTAAATCAAC